GACATGACTGCACATAAAGCAAACTACACATATACTAAATATAATATTACCTGGCGTGAATGGACGGCGAAGGTATTTGACAGGTCCAAACATGACAATGAAAATATGCGTGTCATCTAAAATATGACTACATGCTACGCTCACAGCGCTCTCGCAACCGTTTCGCTAGCTTCACATATACCTAATTTGGTATTAAGTGACCTGAATGGATGACGAAGGTAAATGACACGTAGAAACATGCTAATCATATTTGTGTCATGAAAAATATCACTACATGCTAGGCTCATAGTGCGCTAGCGGCCGTGTCGCTAGCGTCACATGTACCATATTTGGCTATACGTGAAGTCAATAGATTTGATAGATATGTGGGGTTTAACGTCCCAAAACCACCATATGATTATGAAAGACGCCGTAGTGGAGGACTGCGGGAATTTAGACCACCCGGGGTTCTTTAACGTGCACCCAAAGCTGAGCACACGGGCCTACAGCATTTTCTACGTCAACAGACGACGAAGGTAAATGATACGTCCAAACACGATAATCATTATATGCGTGTCATGTAAAACATGACTACATGTTATGATAATAGCACGCTCGTGCTCGTTTCACTGGCTTCACGCACACCAAATTTGGTACGTGACCTTAGTGAACGACAAACACAAATGCCCGGCGCAAACATAGTAACCATAACATGGAAGTCATATACGGCATAATTCACGTCCGCCTCGTAACGTTGTGCTGATTTCAAGGTCACGTATCAATCTTCCCCATTCGTGCTTCGCATATCATCGATTACCACTGTACGTGGGATCTGCCAACTTTTGGTATATCATCACTCTAACTTTGCTTCCCAATTCCTCATTGTCGGGCGCGGTATGTCAGCTTTTTTTCTTCTTCACTGCGCTTTTTCCCGAACACGTGTGATCCTTGGCCCATTGCCGAATTCGCGTTTGAAGCCATGTTTAAGCACCAACAACCTCAATCCTGACACGTGCCCAAATGTAATGTCTTCCGCGTGCTGCCGTCGAAAGCAAGGTCGCGTGTCCGATCATTACCGGCGCGGCGCGTTGTCCCCTTCCCGTTGGCGCATTTGGAAATCGGCCGGGGGCCACCACGCACGCGAGTGAAAGGAACTAGCGAGGAGAAGATGACGGTTTACCACATGGCGGGGGAAAAACATAAAGGCAGACGAACACCCCAGGAGAACGAAGTGTTAGAAGAAAAAAAAAAGGACAATGTCTGCAGACGTGGACATAAAAGGATAGGACCCTACAGCACAAACGCCGAGGCCATATTGGGAGTTAGAAGACACCGTTACCACACTCCCTCTTTTGTCCCTAACCTGCTTTCACGCAGTGCAATGAGATTCAAACTTTAGGCACAGTTAACAATGTGGGTTACATGGTTTGGGAATCTTCCTATAGAGGACTGGGGCATTATGAGCAGTAACACGCACAAACTCACGGGACGAAGAAAAGAGACACAAACAAGCGCTGACTCTCAAGTGAAGAATTTATTGAAATATACAGATTATCAAAACACATAATGTGTTCAGATAATTTGTGTATTTCAATACGTGCTTCTTTGTGGCTCGGTGGTGAACGCCTCGCATTCACGACTCTTAGGTTTCATGTTCGATTGCACACGCTGGAGCATTTTTCAGAATTTTGTTCTTTTTTGCGTTTTCATATATATATATATATATATATATATATATATATATATATATATATATATATATATATATATTGCTATCACAATAAAACGCACCTATGGTGTCAGTGAAACTGTTTCCGGACCATTATTCGCCCAGTTCCAGCGCTACACTTCAACCTACACCTTCTTCGTCGTTCCTCAAGACTTTAATCTGTGTTGCATCTTTTGCAATCTCACATCCCATATTTCGATCGTATACTTCACAATTTACTCAGCGTGCGCCGGTAGGACACCATGCAGATATAAATTTTACAAGCATGCTCATTTGGACCCTCCATGCAGTATTGAAATGACGCGCTTTTAAATCCAGGTGATAGCTGTAGGGTAAGTATAAGAACGGCAAGCGAGGTGAGTTAGTAGTTAAACATAGTGTGGGCAGTGCGGCGTGGACTGAGGACTAAAAGGAATGTACTCAAACCAGTCGTCAGTCAACGCTTGTTTGTGTACGTTCCTTTCAGTTCTTAGTCCTGGTTGTGCTTCACACAGCAAAATCATGTCTAATATGTTTGGGAAATGTACTGACTCTTGACATTTTTTGCTAGGCCTTGTTTAGGAACTGATTTATAGCCCCTTTTCCCATCCAATTTTGACATATACGTTTATATATATTCACCATATACAATGAGTCGGGTAAATTTTTTAGGTTCTTGCATTGCTAACTTTGAGAGGAATGTAAAATAATAGCCAAATATATACCAGATGAAGTATTCTTATAGTTTGGAGGGCTTCTGCAACACTTCGCATTTATTCACCTTTTTGAATAAATAAATAAATTACAATAACAATAGGAGAAACGCACCCAACAATACCTAACGAATTTTTTGTCATTCTCCTAATGGGTAAATCAATATGCTATTTGCCACTTGGAGCAAAAGCTAGAGTGTAGACCTCACAGTCGCAGCACTTACTAGTGCGAAAGTTGACCACCGCAGGATTCTGGCGGCGCTTAGGACGCTCGTTCAGCAACATCCTCTGTGGCTGCGTCACTCGGTTGTGTCCCTCGTTGTTCAGAAGGAAAACGTGAACGGGCGAACTTGAGGTGCTTGAGGCTCAATGTTGTAGGCCCGTGTGCTCAGATTTGGGTGCACGTTAAAGAACCCCAGGTGGTCTAAATTTCCGGAGCCCTCCACTACGGCGTCTCTCATAATCATATGGTGGCTTTGGGACGTTAAACCCCAGATATCAATCAATCTATCAATCGTGCTTGAGGCTCGCGCGGGGCAGATTCTCGAGTCACCTACTCTAGAAGCGGTGGCAAAGGCGATGCAGCGCATGCGCAGTGGGCTCGAGGCCCACGCCAGCGCTGCCTCCTCATAATTTGTTGTCATATTGCTTACTTCGCTGTTGGTTTCTTTCATTCTTAGCTGCGCTGTGCTTCCTTCATCACTATACCACTGCGCTGCACCTTCTTTCTTTTTGCTACTTCCACTCCTTTCACCGTTGCTGACGACTACTAGGGAGAAAGCTTCATATGCCTCATGAACCGGGAAAAGTGACCGGTGACGTATTGTTCACACGAATCGTACCGAAAATTGGATAACATGCTGATGTCTAGTAAAAGCTATAGAAGGCAAATGAAGTGACAGAGGGAATGCAAAAATTAATAGAGTGTTACTAACAAGTAAATCAAAGCAATCCAAAGTATTTAAAAGTAACTTGCAACAATAAAGAACGTAACTGAGAAGTAATTATAACGATATGAGAACAAGTGAGGGTAATCGAAAATGACGTATAGCAGTAGTGCAGGCGTAACAACTTTCGTCGTCAAGTGCTTTTGCCATGCGATAAACGACCATGATAATAGCTCTACCCTTTGGAGATTGTTTGTTCGGTTACGCCGACAAAAGCCGCACTCTAAAAACGCAAACCGAAATGTTCCGAGAGTGTTACGTAAGAGACGGGCACTCATACATACCTCCTCTTCCCGTGGCACAGGCCAGAGTAATCCAGGTAAGGAAAATGGACCACAGAATGCGGTCGAAGAAGGTTGTCGATAGTTTGCCCAACTCGGTGGTGGGGTCATTGGTACGGTACCAAACAGTTTTCATGAATACACAGCACAGCCCGCTTGCGATGGCAACAAGCCAAGCTATCAGCTGAAACACCTAAAAAAGAAATAGGTCGTTACTAGGAATTCTAAATAGAGTGAACTCCTGTGATGTTCAAACAAGAGCATACAGATGTTATGTATTCGCGCGATCATAGTTTAGTTGTACTTCCTATATAAAAAGGCGGATAGCAATATTTATACGTGTTCCTTTTTCATCCCAAATTCACGATCTGATGATGAGAGACGCCGTAGAGGTGGATCTCCGGATATTATGACCATCTGGTGTTCTTAAACGCGCACTCACATTGTATACAATACGCGGACTTCTACCATTCCGCCTCCTTCGATATGCTACCGCCGCGGCACGGATCGAACCAATGACCTTCGGGTCAGCAGCCTAGTACCCTATAGCCACCAATGCAGCATTGCGTGTTCCACACAATAAAAAAGCAGGTGGGTACGAATTCTGTAGTGCTATAAGTTAACAACCAGAACATGCTTCTTCATGATGCAATTTCGCCCCGCCGTGGTGGTCTAGTGGCTAAGGTACTCGGCTGCTTACCCGCAGGTCGTGGGCTCGAATCCCGGTTGCGGCGGCTGCATTTCCGATGGAGGCGGAAATGTTGTAGGCCCGTGTGCTCACATTTCGGTGCACGTTAAAGAACTTCAGGTGGTTGAAATTTCCGCAGTCCTCCCCTACGGCGTCTCTCGTAACCACATGGTGGTTTTAAGACGTTAAACCCCACATATCAACCAATCAATCTTGATGAAATTTCATTACACCAGGGCTACGTGCTCGCCAGTGCCGAAATGCACGCGTGAAGCTTCCAAATTCACCTAATACGTCGTCATGTCGCCTGTGGCTGCGACGATGGCGCTCCTTTTGGAAGGCAACGAGGCAAGCACTGACTGAATGAGCGATATAGGCCTGCAGTTCCCGCGGTAACGATGAAATGTGCCCGCTACCCGACAATGCGGCCAGAGCGTGCTGCAGTAGCAAATGACGCGCTTTAAGACTATGCATTTCAAGCGTGTGAGCACGCGCCAGCCTCTGTCGGCACGTGACTGCAGCACTGGTCGCATCGCGATGCAACGTGCTCCAAGATTTTTCTTAAGTGTGAAACAGAATATACGTAAATATGTAGTATTGCTTATACGGCATTTACAACCCGCATGGTTATACCGACACAGAAATAGATGCGATGCGAATGCAGCCGGAGGGACGCGGCTTAAGCTACGAAGACACTGAAGTACGTGGGTGGTGCCCGCCATGGTCAATTTGCTGTAGTGCCCGGGCTTGATGCACTGGTGGTTGCTGCTGGCCGTGGCAGGGGCGGCCACACTTGATTGTAGTCTAGGATGGCAGAGATACAACCGCCTCCCACAATGTTTTTTTTTTATAATATAGTTGGTGTTTTCGCAAGGTGGCAATTCACAGCTAACACCCAAATTTAGCTACATGGATTGTTGAAGGTGTAAAAATAAATGATGCAGCGGTGATCACACAATAAAATTATTCCCGCGAGCATAACTTTTCGCTGTTTTAATGTTGCCAGCCTAACACTCAACACATGTATCACAAAGGTATATGAGCCTTTGACTTTGTAGCGTGCATTTGTCTTCAAATGCATTGAACATTGTAGACAAATGAACGCTCTGTTCACGATTCGCCCCATCGCTTAGCGTGAGAGAGCCCAAGTTTTGCCCTGATTACTTTTTAGCTTACATTGTACTCCACTAAACTATATGAGTCATTCGTACTCATCAAAAATATGTTTAAGCTATTATTTGCAAGAGGAATTGCCCCCTCATTATTTCTACATACAGGTCTGCCCCAAACATCGAACACTCACCTTTGGTATCTTCTTTTCCTTGAACCATGCCACCAAGAAAAATGTTATACAACCCGAGAAATAGCACACTGCATGGTAGAACGGGTAGAAGTAGTAGAGGTAGCCAGTCTTCACCATTGTTCTGCAATGGACAATATAAAAATATTTTCATTGTTTTCAACTATGACACACTCAAATAGGTGACATCAAAAATTTACTGGCCTGTTGATTAGTGATCAGCACATTTTTCACCCACGAGTACTCGACAGCAAGGGGAAAGAAGCCCATTCATGCAGAATAACAAAAAAAAAAAAACTGGCAGATCCCACGAACAGTGAGAATCGATGATATGCGAAGTACGAATGAGGAAGCTTGATATGTCACTTTAAAATCAGCGCAACGTAACGAGGTGGACACAAGCAGTACACAGTAAACACAATTAGAAATGTTATGCACAGTCACGTATCTAGGTATACGATGCAAGTATGTTGTTTATAGTCACGTAACGACGGCCTCACTAACGTTTGCAAGACCTGCACCATCACTGGTAGGCATGTATATTATGCTGTACATGACCTCCGTGTTGTGATGATCACGTTTGCTCCCGGCATTTGTGTTCGTCGCCCATTCACGTCACACAATACTAAATATGCTATATGTGAAGCAAGCTAAACGGCTGCGAGCGCGCAATGAGCGTAGCATGCGGTCATGTTTTTCATGGTACGCATGTCACGGTTATCTTGTTTGGACGTGTAATTTACCTTCGTCGTCTATTCACGTCACGTGTTACCAAACTTGGTATATGTGAAGATAGCGAAATGGCTGCGAGTGCATCAAGAGCATGGTATGTAGTCATGCCTTTACGTGACACGAATGTCATGATTATCATGCTTGCACCAGTCATATACCTTCGTCATCGATTCACGTCTCGTAACACCAAATTTGATAGATGTGAAGCTGGCAATACGGCCGCGAGCGGGCTGTGAGCGTAGCATGAAGTAATGGTTTACATGAAACGTGTGTCATGATTATCATATTTAGATGTGTCATTTACCTTCGTCGTCTATTCACATGACGAAGTACCAAACTAGGTATATGTGAAGCTAGCGACACGACGGCGAGCGCATCATGAGCCTGGCCTGTAGTTATGTTTTACATGACACGCATGCCATGATTATCATGTTTGCACCGGTCATATACCTTCGTTATCCATTCACGTCTCGTAACACCAAATGTGGTACATGTCAAGCTAGCGAAATGACCGCGAGCCTACTATGAGCGTGACGTGTAGTCATGGCTTACATGACATGCATGTCGTGAATTACACATTAGGATTTAGGATCTGTCACTCATGTTGGCCATGCAGTCATGTCATACCATACCAGTTTGCAATTTGTCATGTGAACGAAACCACCACAAGAGCAGCAAGACCATTAAATATAAATCATGACATTCATAACACGTGTGTCGTGATTTTCATGTTATAATAAAGTCACTTATGCTCGTCATAGAGTCATTTTATGCCATACGAATTTTGGTATGGATCCCAATATCAAAACGACAGGAGAGCTAAAGTCGTAGGCGGCTATAGATAGATAGATAGATAGATAGATAGATAGATAGATAGATAGATAGATAGATAGATAGATAGATAGATAGATAGATAGATAGATAGATATAGATAGATAGATAGATAGATAGATAGATAGATAGATAGATAGATAGATAGATAGATAGATAGATAGATAGATAGATAGATAGATAGATAGATAGATACGGCTAAAGTTTCCGAAGTTCGCTAAGAAATGCTTTGCATTCGAAATCTACAACCTGAGAGACCGCAATTTAAGGGAGGTGATTCTTTAGTCACCGAGGGTGCTTGATGTACTGACGTGAATGGTGGCGCAAAGAAAAAAACAGAAAGGCCTTCTGTCGATGATCGTTACGAAGTGGCATGCACAATAATATACTAGATGCCAGCCATCTTTAAAATACGAGTGCTCGTGTTACAAAACTTCTATGTAAAGGCCACTTGCTACTGACAGTCACAGCGGCAGTCAACTATATATATTATTCTGATGGCCATCTAGCGTTACGACCGCCTTCAATGTCAACCGATAGACAGTTTTACGTGAAAATCTAGTTTTCTAGTCCAAACGCTTTGGTCATTGTGTTCATACTTTGCTCATACCACCATTGAAGAGCGAAATGCCTATATATTGAGTATAGTAAGTAAATTTTACTTGTTCTTCTGTGGGCCCCTTCGAAGAAAGTCATTCGTTTATAACAAAGTAAGCATCGAAATCTCCGTTCATTTTCGACTTTTAGCGGCGACAACTTCAACATTTTTCAATTGCTTCGTAAGCCTCCGACAGCCTTCGAGTTAAGTCATATAAGTTAATGAAATCCGAAACAGACCCATCGCAGTTCGAAAGGGCTACTTTTGCGAAGTTAAAGTGCAAAATGGGAAGGCATTCCGAAATAACAATAGCGAGAGGCTCTCGGAGGAAGCATCTGGACACCCAGAAACACTGTAAACAAATAGATAAGACCGTAATATATCGTATCTTCTTTCTATTGGTGTAGATACAAATGAAGTAGAATTTCGCAGCAGATATTTTTGTTGCTTTTTTACTGTCAGAGCTGTTTAGGCACGCAGTGAGGCCGGTGTTGTGAACAGAAAACTCGGCGTGTATGAGCCACAGAAAGGGGTATGTGCCAAGCAGCTGCCACCATAGCATAGTCTTGCGTATTGTATAGCAGCCAGGGGGTGGTAAAGAGAACTGGGGGTGTGCAGGAAGGAAAAGAGGAGATGAGCGCGTAAAGCATGACACAGCTTTGTCCTTTAACGAGACGATGGGAAAAAATTTTGCGAAGGAAAAGGACTGATATGATATTTAAAAGGAGGGAATGGAGGAGGAGGTGAGAGACTAAATTATAGCATAACCGCAGCATAGAAAGGGATGGGAAAAATAAATGAGGGGGAGAAGTATAGTGTGGGTTACGAGGAAGGCGATGAGGTAAACAGTACGCAAAGCATGGCATGTAGCCTCAAAGAGCACAGGAATTGGAGCCCCGCCGTGGTGGTCTAGTGGCTAAGGTACTCGGCTGCTGACCCGCAGGTCACGGGATTGAATCCCGGCTGTGGCGGCTGCCTTTTCGATGAAGGCGGAAATGTTGTAGGCCCGTGTAGTCAGATTTGGGTGCATGTTAAAGAACCCCAGGTGGTTAAAATTTCCGGAGCCCTCCACTCCCATAATCATATGGTGGCTTTCGGATGTTAAACCCCATATGTCAATCAATCATGGGAATGGGAAAATGAGGTAAGAGGGAGAGGATTGATATGTGATGAGGAGGAGGGAAAGAAGGAGTAGGTGAGAGAATAGGTGTTAGCGCAACCATGTAAATAGTATAGCATAGCAAGGGGCACGGAAGGAAAGTGAATGTGAGGGGACTAGGTAAGGCCGCAGAAGAATCACAGCATATCGACGGAGTGCATGATGATGAGTGGGGCGAAGCGTCCGTCAGCCTGTCCGTACTTCTGTCCGTCCGTTTCTTCTTGCTCCCTTCCATCCGTGCGGCCATGCATGCTTCCGCCCGTCTGTCAATGCGTCCATCCATCCGTACGTCCACGCGTCCATCCATCCGTCTGCTAGTCTGTCTGTCCGTCCACCCGTTCATCCGTCCATGCGTCCATCTAGTGAATACTCCAAGTGCCGCCATCTCCCATCTCGCATCCCCTGTGGCACATACCCACTCTAGCAAGAGGTGGCAAAGAAAAATAAGGGTGAGCAGGAATGATGTGAGAGTTAAAAGTATGAAAAGAAGGATAGAGAAAGAAAGAAAAAAAGAAAGAAAGAAGACGCAGAAAGACGCAGAAAAAACTCGCCAGGTGTGGCGCTTACTTTCCAGCTCCACTGTTTACTGATATTTCACAGGGGTGGAACTGGCTCTACCTATTATTTTATGCTTGATATTTCAATGCTACTTTTCTGGACAGGCCACGCCATGACCAACCGGACGTGTTCCGTTCACCGTCGCCACATCAACATTAGTCGGCTGTAATTGCCTAAAATCCACGCAGTTCTGTGGCATAAGAATACCTGTAATATCCTGAACCATCAACATGATACATGCTTTCACGAAACGCATTGACAATTTCAGCAAATACGGCGCTGCTCTGTGCACGGGGAATCTTCCGGTGAATGATTTAGCGTTTGGAGTTCCACTCCTATACTTGTGGCTCAATCGATATTTCACTTTCAGTTGAAAAAGAAAGAAGTATAACGGTAATTACCCGGAGCATATTTAAATGGACGTTTGAAGAAAGCGTTGAAATAACTTCAGCCACTTAATTATCTGACAATTTTGCGCACAAAAGGCAACCATTACCTGTCAAGCATATATAACACAGAGCTCACGTTTTTGTTTCTCCAGTTTTTTTTATGCGAACCGTGGTCTCGCACAGAAAATACTATATTCAGAAGATACAGGAGCAGGTGCGAAAGAAAAAAAAACATAATAAACTTACATATTTCTCAATGGTTGACAAAGAAGTGGTCTGGTTTCCTCGTTAAGCATACGTAAGAGCAGGTAAAGGATTTATGGTGTCACATATTATACAACCTTAATTCTCTTAAACACATTGTCGCTACCAACCAGACAACCTAATATTCTGTCGGAAAAGAAATGGAATGAAATGCTACAGAATAATTCATCGTAAATAATCGCTGGCATCGTCGTCATGCCATCGTAGTTGTTCTATCATTATCATTTTGTCATGGACACTCCCGTGTCATCATCTCAGTGTTGTAACGGCATCACTGCCATTTAAATAATAGACGTAATGCCATTGTTTCCATGCAGATGTCGCCATTCTTGCATCACCAAGTGGCGTCGTCAAGTCAGTGCGACGCATTTGCGATCAGTCATCTTGATGCCATGATGGTCGTTCTTTCGCCGACACTAATGGGTCAACTTCGCATTAGCATCATAGCATCGTCGTCGCATCGCTATCAACATTGTCCCACCACGGTTGCCATGCCGTCGTTCACGAGCAATATTCATAATTTCCTGACATTGTCATTGTTATTCCATCGTATACATACTCTTCTCCGGCATTTAGTCATCACCATGTCAGCG